GTCCAGTAGTTTTTGAGTTTGGTTTTCATTACAACCAAACAAACAAACAAACAAAGTTTTCCTCTTTATAATATTAGTGTAGATTTAGTTCCAATCACTAAAATACAATCGTCAATAGATTTGTACCTATTAGCTTACAAATATTCCACAGACGCTGGCCAGTCAACTTAATATTATTTAACCTTTTTTTCAAATTGAATATTTCAAGTTCACAAATTCAAGCGAGATTTCTGAAGCGAAAATCTACGACGATGACGATGAAATTGAATCAAGTTTCTAACTTTTTATAACGGGCCGTAGACTGATTAAAACGACAGTTGAACCTCAAAACAAAAAACATTCCTCTATTTAACCCAAAAAGCTTCTCACCCGTCAGCGAGCTTTCTATATAGACCCCACCTGAGGTCCTCAAAAAAGTGCTTAGGTTCTCAACCCAAGACAAAGCCCCGTAAATAGTCTATTGTTCTGAACCCTTGCTTGAGGGTACCTCGATGAGTTTACGCGGTTTGAAGTCCGCTACCCCTTACAAGTGCCGTCTAACTTTCATTCACAGGTCGGAATTGTAAAAAATGCAAGCAAAAACTGCACATTTGAGTTTAGTGGGTTTTGATTTGCGAAGTTTTCAAATAGGTCGAGGGCTAAGATTTTGTGTTTGACTGTAGCTAGGAAGGGTGGCTGAAGATGAAATCGGAAACTTAAATAATCTGTAGAAGTTCGATTTTCATGTCACAGTATCATTTACGATATTTATTTGTGTTTAGCAGACAGAGTTTGAACCTACAAAAATATACACATGAAAGTGTAATTTCACAATTCTTGTTAATAAAATCTGGATAGAACTGTTACTTTCAAGAAATAAAATCTTCATAGATTCATTTCACGCACTAGCTAGCGAGCACACCTAACGTGAACTCATGGTGACCACACTCGTGTAATCTATTGCAATCCGGTCAATACCAGATTGTCTAGTTTAGTGGTAACCTTAGCTAAGGTTAGTCCCTAAACTTGATTCAGATCGAGGGTTTAGTAATTACAGTAAAATTGGTAGAGTTTTTATTCTAAAATGTTTATTTCAAAAGTTAGCACTAGTTAAGCTGACGAGTAAGAATTATGCACGAAACGAAATCGCAATTTCAAAATTCAGAATCGTGTCATTTCAGATTTTGTCTGGTTTTGTATCAAAATTGACATCTGAGGACAACTTTTATTAGACCTATAGTTTATTGGCTTTTTACGTATTGTTCCTCTTGAAATCTATAGATGATATTGAATGATAGATAATAATAGGTGTGGATGTAATTAATTTGATAAATAGCCGATACCAATCATAGATCCGGCGTCGATCGAACTCATAAACGGAAAATATGTTTCCTGTGTGACCCTTTATCAACAGGATAAGGCTACATGCTATAACCCACATAAACTTTGCAACGTTGAACTTTGCTAGCCATATTGAATATTCATTCCTTTATTAGTACAGACGAGATCGCGAGAGCACATCAGATTATATAATTTTGTTGCAATATCAACCCTATCACAACTACATAAGGTCCCACATGTTTATCTTGACGTGCTGTCGTCTCTACGCCCGTCGCGACGCAACATGCGCGTGCGCCGATCCGCCCCAGCCCGCTATTGGCCCGCCATTTTGGCGTCGCCCAATCACCAGTTGGCGGGAAACGCTCCGTATAATTTTGGCATAATTAGTCACGCAACGAGGTGTGCGACTAAAAACAACTATCATTACACTATAGAAATAGAGACGAGTTTGGCGTGTCAAGCTATTTTTAACTGGCAGGTGGAAATTAATTTCCGTTGGCGCTTATTTTGTGATCATTGACCGTTTAAAAATATAGGGTTCGTTCGGACAGAGGTTACGGCATGCTCCCCATTCGGTGTTTTTTATTGCACAAAAACTTCGAAATTTAACGATTATCATAATCATCATCATTTCAGCCATAGGACGTCCACTGCTGAACATAGGTCTCCCCCAATGCTTTCCATGTTGATCGATTGGTAGCGGCCTGCATCCAGCGCTTTTCTGCTACCTTTATGATGTCGTTGGTCCACCTTGTGGGTGCACAAATAAGTTACATGCGCCCCTATCTACTAAAAAGTACTCACTGGTGACTAACTCTTTAAAGAATTGGATCCTAGTTAATGTAACTCAACTATTCGAGAACTATATTACAGACACCATAACTCGGATTTGTTCAATGAATCATGAATAATACCGCTTAATTTGAGGATTAACATTAATTCGCTATCGCTACCGGCTAGGCATTGTGCATTCGGAGATAAATTTAATCATTAAACCGTCGTAAATCTTCCAAACATGTCATTGTTTCAAAGTTTCTAAACTTAGTTGTTTTGAAGATTATCTATGGAATATTATTCCGAATTGCCTACTACTCTTAGACATTACACATTGGCGTATCGGATGATTTATTAATGAATCAAACACACACTAATAGGGATTGAAGATTTAGTAATTAGATTTAGCAAGTTTCTGCTCTCCAGATTAGTTTATTTTTGTTTTAATTTGATCCACTTAGACGAAAGTTAAAGAAAATAACAATAGGTGCAAAAACAAAAGTATTTCTTTTTTGTATCTTGCATCTTATCGAAAAAATATCATTTAATTAAACCCTCACAATGCCGTCGCCATTTTGTTTCACTACAACTTTCCCCAATGGCGTGATTCCAAATAGGAAGTTACCCAGCTTATTGTTATTATGTAAACAGTTACTGAATTATGTTTGTTTGCGTAATCTCCCCAGATTGAGGTAGTGTTCGGATGAGCATTGTCTGTGCAAATGTTGGTTGGAATACAAGCTGTTATATCTTGCAGAATTGTACTAACTTCAATATGGTTAATAATAAGGATGTTGCCACATGGAGCGTGTAGCGAATCATAGAATTATTATTTGGTAGAGAGCATCATAAAATATGCCTACCTTATGGAACACAAAGTATGTAGTAAATAAAAAAATAAGATAAATGATACTATAATAAGAACGTAATAGATTTTATGACATGTATTAATCTAATACCAAACTACTGAAAAGTCAACGAAATATTTGGACTATTAGCTACTTTAACCTTTCAATCGATTCTTATGTCAAAGAGCATCTAACAACATAAACGACTCTAGTAAATTTCTTCTTCATAATCATTCTGTAAAGGCGTACTTATTATAAGAAACTAATGCCCGTTTTCACCATCAATCCCTAATTTTTAGGTGACCCCTATGGTAACACATAACAGGCATTTTTTTTCATAGGTGTCACTTAAAAATTAGGGATTGATGGTGAAAACGGGCATAAGAGTACCTATCTTTCTTTATCTTTTTTCATCTGTGTACATTTTTGGGCTTTAATAAAAACACAGTTATTTGTTTACAAGTATTAAACAATTACGTATTCAATATTACAATCTCAATCCAAATTGAGACTCTAATAAAGCCAGTTTCCACTTCGAATGTAATTTAACACACCCAATTAACAGTTCTATTCTTAACGCCCAGTTGGGTGAAGATATTCAGTTTCCAAATCCGTCAGTCAAACTGTCCGTGACTCTATGACACGAATATTGTGACACTTCTAATTACTTTGAAGTGGCATTTTAAGTTATAAGAAAAAGCGAGAGCTGGCAACTTTTTGCAACCGATTTTTAGCCCTTATTAAAAAAAAACTGGCCACTTTACCGAATCCTTTAACTTTTTTTAATAAAAAATATGGACTAGGCTCTTTTAATGCACACTTTTTTCTGACAGCCAAAAAACAAAACATCTATTTATAATTACTTGATAAGTACTGGCACTTTCAGTGTCATCACAAGTTGAAGCCATTAAAAGAAGAAAAGAAAAATACAATGTAAAATATTATTATGTTGGTCTATCTTAAACGTTATTAATCTATTCTTTGGGGATATCAGAAATCAAAGAGCGCTTGCCAAATAATCTTTTAAAGTGTTTCGTCACGATTTCAGTTTAATTAATAAAATAAATTAACGATAGTACCTTGTCTAACAAAATTAACAATCAAATAAAAAATATTTGCTTAATTTTGGCACATTATGAACGTCAATTATTTTTCAGCCGAGCAAAAATACATGCCATGATAAAATCTTATCATCGTTAGACGACAAATGTATGGATTTAACAAGCAAATCGATAAAATAACCCGACAAATGTTTATCGCGGCGCCATTTTCAAAGTTCCAAGCGTATTTTTCGCTCTCCGCTTTCTCGTTATTCTTGGACCACCGAAACTAAAGCTAGGATTAAATCTCGAATAGGTGACAGGCACTCTAATCAACTTTCTCGGGCCATTGCCTCCACACACTTGACGACGGGTTAAGCGCCGATTAAACTGTCAGAAGCATTGTCGACACGGTCTGCACGTTCGATCGTTATAGTCAGAATTATTGTTATGTTAGAAAGAGTCTAGACGTTAGTTATGAGACGGATTTTGGAATAGATGTGATAAAAGTTTTGAAATTTGGATCGGGTATCAAAGAGATGTGACGCTTTTGGATGCGTAATACAATAAAGAAATGACGCCAAAAATACATACTAGCCATTAACATTTATTATCCTATTCTACATACTCGTAACACAACAACTGTCAAAGGTTTTAGATTTGTCAAAAAATACGGCGTGAGAGAGAGATGAGACGTAACAGTATTACTGTATAGGTATACGTCAGAATAATGAAGCCTTTAATGAAGACTTTCCGAGAGTGAAGCCACGGGCTAAAGCGAGTACATTATGTTACATCTAATGTTTTGTTAATGTTAATGTATCCACAATCTGCAAATAAATAATTTTCATTTTCATTTTCACGTCATAGGTACGTGATATCGACGGAACAGTGTGCCTAAGCAAAATACAATTTCAGTTCCAAAAAACAGTGTGCCTGTTTGGTGACAAAAACAATTTTCTGGCCGTTAATAAAAAAGAAGATGCCAATTAAAAAACAAAAACAAAAGAACACTCACTTCCAAACGAGGATGGCGCCGACGAAGATGCCTAGCACCAGCACGATGGAACACAGCGCGATGGCAGCCGACGTCTGCAGCGACGGCCCACTGTGGTTGTACGCGTCTATCTTCTGCGGAAAGAAAGAGACAACGTTAGAATTGGCTGTCAGTTTTTAGGTAACAAGCTTCGATCGAGTATGATGTTGGAAGAAGGAAGTAGAAACATTTGTCATCACCAGAGCTGTTATAACGCGACTTCTGTATGGCAATCCGATGATGACGCCACTAATGATGATAAAGTTAATTTTAAAACAACAAATAGCGTGACCATACCTAATTTTTTTTAAGACTGGAGAAGAGACTAGCCTTTAAGTATCATCTGGAAAAGCTGTGCTTTAAAAATATTATTGAAAAAAGACGCACCCATTGATATTTTATTCTTGGTAGATCCATCTTGGTACATCTTAAGTGTTAGTTAGTTTATACATAAGTAATGTACTACTAATTTTTGGTTTGTATTTAAGTAGGTACCTAAGTACCTACTGGTTATTTTTATTTTTAACTTACTGTCCTAAGACCTTTTCCTGACATTAAATAGGTTCCTATAGAAAAAAGGGCGTACATTTTTTCCTGAAATATAAATATTTCTCAGAAACTTTTCTAATTTGTCTCTTCATGAACCTTGCTCGGGCTTCAACAAATATTTGAAAAATATAATTAGGTATTGGATGGGCTATTCTTGAGTTTTGCGCTTAGCAATAAATACATTTTAGCAATTTATTCTTGAGAAATATAATTAGAAGTTATTGGATGAGCTATTCTTGAGTTTTGCGCTTAGCAATACTTAAATACATTTTAGCAATTTATTCCTTATTGACGAAGAAGTTTATTTGTAAAATAGATAATGTTATAGATAGATGGAGCCTAAGCTACAACAAACTAATATTTGACTAGAAAAGTAACATCAGTGCCAGTTTTAATTTCTACCAGTAAATCGCTCTAGGTTTTGGTGAAGGTCACGGGAAGAACCTGGATGCGGGCAGCGCAGGACCGGTTTGTGGAAATCCTTGGGGGAGGCCTTTGTCCAGCAATGGACGTCATTTGGCTGAAATAACGACGATGACGACGACGAAATCGCTCTAGGAAACATTAACATTCGAAACCGCTTCACGGAGCGAAGTAGCTTAGAAACAAAAACAAAAGCCGAAGCGAAGTGATTTCGAAATGGCAATGAGGGTTTTCGCGAATGAAAGATCCGCTAGATGGCGGGACGTGGATGTGGGGTCTGTCTGCTGCGTAATTGGTGGATTTTGATATATCTGTCAATGTCATGTCAAAAATAACCAATCATGCAGCATTTGGACCTCGCGTCTACGTATTGCCATCTGGCGGATTTTTCATTCGCGAAAACCCTCATTGTCACCTTTATTTCTGTCTAGGGGGAGATGCTAGTTGTAAAATATTGTAATGATACGATTCAAAGTGTTAACATAAGTTAATATTTATCGTCTATTTTTTCCATGCTTTTCTTGTTATTATAAATTGGTTATCTACCAACATACATAAATGAAAAAACATATCACAACATCCCAATAACTTCATAAGGCTCTGACAGCAAAGTAAATTAATATATCAACAAACGTTCCATCATTTTATTGACCGGATTATTTTTCGACCCGCCTTTATTTGTGGCCACTGACATGGAAAAGTTCGCAATAATATGATTAAGGATTGACAGACAGACAGACGGACAATATAAGCTGATCGTGAGTTAGAAAAAGATATCAGAGAAATGTCAATTAAATTAATATCTGACGTAGACAAAGGTTATATTTTATGATGCCTTTATGATGTCAATACTAAAACAATAGAGCTATTTTGAAATATGGTTAGCAAGCTTTACCGTTGTCTTTCTGGCGCAGTCGGGTAAATAGTAGATAATCTATTAGGATTTTGCATATGAAAAAATGTATCGCCCCAGGTGGGTATTGGACGCACATTCGTTCGGTTCACCCGAATGACGTCCACAGCTGGACAACGGCCTCCCCCTAGGATTTCCACAAAGACTGGTCCTGCGCCGCTCGCACCCAGGCACCTCCCACCTTCACCAGATCGTCGGTCCACCTAGTGGGAGGCCTGCCCACACTACGCCTTCCGGCTCGTGGTCCGATTGGACCCATGACCTTTTCACATATCGGGTGTCTGAGTTACTATAGTTAGAAAACTGTTATAATGGATGATGACTCAAAAGACCATACAGAAATCTTTGGTGCATTTTGTCGACTTGAGTGAGTCATGTATTTCAATACTTTCTAAAACATCCTTGTGAGCGATTAATACCGAATATTTAATATTAAGCGCAATACACATTGAGCCCGCCGGGCCACCGACATATGTCGGCAACTTTTTGTCGGCGGTCTAGTTGGCGGCTGTACTTAATACAAGTCGGAAAATTTGGTCAGCGGCATGTCGGCGGCTTGAGATGAGAAATTTATTTGGCAGTCAGCATACAAGCACGTCACTACAGGTCGAGCGTCGCCGGGCAACTGAGCGCAGGCGTACCCAAGCCGCCAACATGTCGGCGGGTAGGTAACACGCGTGGGCGCATGTTGCCGACATGACATGATTATTTTAATACAGGCCGCCGGGTTGTGTCACCGGGCTTTGTCGGCGGCCCGCCGCGGCGGGCTCAGTGTGTATTGCGCTTTATTTCTACCTCACTACGAGTACACTCGGCCTCAAAAATTGCTACCGATCCAAAATTCCCAGTCTAATCTCATTTGTGAAAACGATATAGAACATCGCAATCTCGTAGATTTATTAGCCTAAGTGAGCGGATCAATGATGAAAGTAATCCGATATCTTTGGAAGAATTCCAAAGTTCTGTCGTCAAAGAGCGTGGAAGTAGCCGGGCAATTTTCAACCTTAAAGTTTCTATAAGAAGACAATTAAGTAGCCTACTTTTGTGGAAAACTGTGGTTGTTAATTTGTCATCCAAGCAATTTGGCGCCAATTCGGGATAGATTTTACTGTTTGGTCAATGTTACCTACTACAGAATTAATATTTTTTTTTGTTGAATATTAGGGTAATTACTCCAATTGATAGAGTTAGATCCAGATGATATTAAGATGCTTTTCATTTATGATACCTACTTTTTGATTGCTAACGTATTTTTTAGCAGAGTTCTAACTTTTAAAAAGTTCATTTTTTCTAGCAAAGTAGCAATAGTAAACTACTTTCATTATTCAAAAATGACACCACGTCTTTCTAAGGGTGGGTTGCATTATCTTACTTTAACTTTGACAAACGTCAAAAATCTGACAAACTCCATACAAAAAACACCGGTTATCGTCATAGTTACGGTCAAAGTTAGGTGATGTAACTCAGCCTAAGATTAGAACAATACAAAAATTATCAAAAGAATGAAACGAAAAAAGTAAGGAAAACGGTACATCAAACTAGTCGTATAAACATTATTCCATCTCACGTAGTTCTTATAAGAACGATTTTACAAAAATAAGTGACAATCTGATGACTGCACAAAACAACACACTAACGAGTCGACGTAGGTGTTCCATAAGCTTCAAGAATCGATTATCCGTAGATACTGCGAAAATCGATATCTCAATATACTAATTGGACCGACTACCTGACTCAATAAGGTGATAAAAAGAAACATGAAATAAAATGGTCGGATAACCGCACGCTAACAACTCAATGTAGGTGTTTCGATGACCGTAAGATTGGTCATAGTTCGCAGAAGAGTGGTGTGAAAATTAATAAATAAATAAAATTTATTATATTGTGTCTCTGTTAAACATGTCACAATATTATAAACATTAATAGTCTAAAATATGCGTTTAGCATCTAAGGGGATTCTCTATAGATTGAGTAGAAAGAAGAAAAAATAGTTGGTAGAGCAAAAGTAAAGTAATAAGAAGTTTCATTTATGTTGTCCGTTCGTTACATAAACTTCTTATGGCCTTCCGAATGATAATGTTTTGACAGGCAGCTGACTGACATAGCATAAAATAATGGAAGACTTAAGTCTTAACTTAAGACTCATCTTAATTTGAGTATACACCAGAACATTTAAGAGTAGCAGAACAACGAGCCGCTTTATGAAATGTCAGTGTCACCTTTCATGATCCTTCATTTTGCCTGTATTGTACCATATTTCGTAAAAACGTTACTTACATAGAAATGCTCAAGTCTATATTCCCCTTTACACAAAAGAGTGAAGTTTGTTAACAGCAAAGTAATTTCACAGACACGATAGTAAAAACACAACAAAATTATCAAACACACAGTAAAGTTAAAGCAACAAGAATTCAACGTAGGTGTCCCAACAGCAGATTGGTCATAGTTCGCAGAACCGCCGGGCGGCGCTGCGATCGCGGCGGGCGATTCACACGTGACTTGCGGTTTACTTGTAACGTCTCAATTTTGTTGGGAATCTGTGTTTGCTTTTTTTTTAGCTTCGAGATACTTGACATTCTTTACCAGTGAATGCAGTTGCTTTTTTATTTAACACTTTGGTGTTGACCTACCTTAAGAGTTTGGTTGTTGTTAACTTTTTGGAACAACGTTGGTTCTATCAACTTTAAAGAGTTGTTGAAGATACTTTTTATCTTTTGAAGAACATTTCCGAAATAAACTCTGAATTTTTATCATTCTAATTTACCTAAAATCTCTAAAGATTTCAAAACTTTGTAGATAAAATCAAAGTATAGAAGCCAAGCCACAGTGTCAAACTTCTCATTTTACTTGCAAAATCATAACTATAAATACATCAATCTTCATAACAACTTCATAAGAAGCTACAGCGTTTAGCTAGATGCCTCTTTCTCATACGGTGGTTCTTGAATAAGTTATAAAACTAATTTATATTTCTATTTAAAGCACTTTAATATTTAATCTACTTCAAAAATTGAATTTACATAATATCTATTTCTTTTCTTTTTTCTAATGACCGGTTGCTAGTGACCTGCATCCAGCCTTTCTGCTGTCATTATGGAAATCATTGGGGGAGACCTATGTTCAGCAGTAGACGTCCTATCGCTGAAATGATGATGATCATGAATTGTATTAAATAAGTTAGCTATCCCATTAAATATTCCCGCTTCGACC